GCATTCTCTCTCCTCCAAACACGACGAGTTTGTGTTTCTACCAAACTGTAACTATTTTGGTTTCATTGACCATATGACATTCTCCCAGTCCTCTTCTGGATCATCTAAATGCTCTCTAGCAAACTTCAGACGGGCCCGGACGTGTAACGGCAAGCAGGGGGACACCTCTGGCACTGCAGGATCTGAGTCCCTGGCGGCGTAGTGTGTTACTGATGATCTTTGTTACGTTGGTCTCAGCTCTCTGCAGGTCATCACTAGGTCCCCCCGTGAGGTCCTGGATTTTTGCTCACAGTTCTTGTGATCATTTTGACCCCACGGGGTGAGATTTTGCGTTTATTATTAGTTAGATTATCAGTGCATGTATGTCAAATTTTATCTAATTATTGCTCCCACAGTTGGGCTTTGTTCACACCAAGCTGCTTGCCTATTGCAAATTCACTCTTCCCAGCCTGGTGCAGGTCTACAAATTTTGTTTCTGATGTCCTTCGACAGCTCTTTGGTCTTCACCATAGTGGAGTTTGGAGTGTGTGACTGTTTGAGGTTTTGGACAGGTGTCTTTTATACTGATAACAAGTTCAACCAGCCATTGATTCAGTAATGAGTGCAGGACAGAGGAGCCTCTAAAGAAGAAGGTACAGGTCTGTGAGAGCCAGAAATCTTGCTTGTTTGTAGGTGACCAAATACTTATTCTCCACCATAATTTGCAAATACATTCTTTCCAAATAAGCCAATGTGATTGGTATTGGATTATTTTTTCTCATTTTGTGTCTTTCATTTAAGGTCTAATATACAAATTACAGGCCTCTCTTATCTTTTAAGTGGGAGAACTTGCACAATTGGTGTCTAAATACTTTTTTGCCCCACTGTATATACATTTAACAACTATTTATTACTTCAAAGTCACATCCTTGAAGGTAAACATTTGTTACAGAGTGCCCAGGGAGTCATGTTTGTAGCAAATATGCTAATTAATACTAACAAAGTGTCAATATATACAGATGGGGGAGTGTATAGTATAAATAAGACCAGTGGCAAAATAATGTATTTTGTAAATACATACATATCAGAGGAGCATAGAGCCATTACGAATCTAGGAACATTGCTAAAATTCTGATTTTCATCACCTTAAATTTTAGCATGTGAACAATTTTACTATGCATGTTTTTGGACACTGTACCTGATAATTTGAAACATGCTAATAAAAAAATCTTCAAAAGAACAAGAGTACAAAACAGCATTCTACCAGAAAGGTAAGACTGTTGTTAAACAATATACAATATGGTGGACAAGCAACTGACACTGTTGCCTTGTAGGGCTGGGTTGTTGTGTGTAGGTCGAACAAAGAACACTGTGAGTTTTTTTTACTAAAGCTGTTTCAATCAGAATTTTGCGCACTTCTACAATGGAAACCAATCAACTTACAGGTTTTATTGCTAAAGCTAAATTGAACAAGCTGAAGTGCAAAGTTGATTGGCTACCATGCACAGGTGCCCCAGATTCTGAGTGAACCAGCTTTAGTAAACAAACCCCTATGTGCCTGCAGTTTGAATGTCTTCTGTTTGCCTGAGTTTCTGTTCAGTGTTTCACGTTCATCCTCCAGTTCATAAAAATCTATCTATCTACAGTATCTGCTATGGGTAATTGATGAACATTTAAACCCAAACAAAAAAATATATACTTTTATTGCAGCTAATCAATCCTTGAACACTGTGGCTACATTGGTTTTCTTTTTTTGGTCTTTTTCTTTTATTTTTGCCTGCTACGTCTTTTATGTCCTTTAACACACTAATCTGCCCAGCAAAAGTGGCAGTCAGAGAGTTGAGATAAACAATTTACCTCCAAAATGAGTGTTTACCATGGTCAGCTTTTATTCATTTACTGCAAGTAACATTTTTTTCCTTTAGGGATAGAGGTAAGTGTTGCTACAGCAGCTTTAATTTGTTAATCAAATCAATGAAAATCTGCTAGTGTATCTAATACTACCCTCTCACCAGGTCTACAATGCTGCTGTCCAAAGGAATCTCTGTTGCTCTTCCATACAAAGTGGAGACACCCTAGGACAGGAAGTGTGATATTTGCTTGGATCACCAGGTGGAAAATAAAGGTAAAGCAGCCTCCATATCTAAGAATTGGTAAGCCTCAATATATTAACCTCCCTGGCGGTATTCCCGAGTGTAGCTCAGGTTAAAATTTCAGTACCACAAGCGGTAACCCCGAGCTACACTCGGGCTTACCATGAGGCGCTGCTCCGTGATCCCTCGATCACTTAGCTTGTCCTGCGCTCCCCGCGATGTCCCACCTGCAGTGTCTTTGGTAATGTAATCCTGTGGATGCCGGCATCTTTCATCTGGGTTCCGTCCCCTGTGAGCGTTGGGATGTATGGGGGACGGAACGGCAGGAAATTTGAAAATGACAAAAAGTGACATTCACTAAAATCACTAAATAACATAGTAAAACATTACTGTATCAAACCATTTCACATACATTTTGTCCCGAGTGCTTTGTCCTGTGCCCTGCCTACATTTTTACTGTTCTTTCTGCCTGGAAACTGAGAAACGTCCAAAAAGCGTCCCTTTAGGTCAAAAGCAGTTTTAGACCGGCTAGAGAACAGCGATAGTAAATTAGAACCACTTGCAGAATTGAGTGATAATGATTCGTGGAGAAATTCCTCATCAGACACTGAAAACGATTTTGCGACTTTGCTCAGTGATGTGCGAACTTGGCACTAAATTTCAAATTTCAGTGTTTTTGGTTTGATTATATTATTGAATTAAATTTATTATTATTATATTATTATTTTTTATGATTATTTATTAAATTATAATTTATGATTTCGTGTTTCAAGTTTTATCCTACCCGGGATGTTTAATAGACTCTTGTTCGGACAGATTTCAGTGAGTTATTCCTAAAAATGACAGGCCTACAATAAAAAAATACATATTTCCATCCAAAAAATGTACCGCTTTGAGCACAGAAATATGGACATAATCAGACCGCTAGGGAGGTTAAAGTGAAAGTTCAGTCAAAATGTAACTAAGGCTAAACCTACTCCCACCCCCATTCTAAGCCTATTCTGTCTAACCCTATAAAGAAAAGATCTGTCTACTGACCTATTCTGAAGTCGCTCAGATCCAATCACATGATGTCTCCAGCTGCAGCTTCTGTGTAGAGGAGAGATCACCAACAACGGCTGCAAATGCCTTGGAGATGATGTCACCCTTAGGCTTACTATGGGGCATCTGTTGTTGGCTCTCCCCCCTCTACATTGAAGGTGCCACTGACAGCTCAAACTGGGACCAGACCATAGTGGCTTCAGAATAGATAAGCATAGAGATCTGTTCTTTACAGGGTTAGACAGAATAGGTTTAGAATGGAGGTGGGTGTAGATTTAGCCTTAGTTAGAGTTTCACTGAATTTCCAAGTTCAGTGTTTGTTTTGGGGTTTTATACCGCTTTAATCTTTATATTGAGTTTGGCTACATTTTATATATCAATTCATAGATTTCAATTAAAATAATTTTGAGAGTTATGAGGGGTTTTTTCAGACCCTATCTCTATTGATTACCATTGGGACCCAAGTTCATAATCTGAATTTTCTTTCCTGTCTGCACAGAAGATTAACTGAAGAGTGCTTTGTTATGGTGAGAAAGGGTAATCCAAGTTTCGCACTAAAGCCCTTTTCCGCAGTAATGTCAACCTCACCGAGAATTTGTGTACCATGTCAATTTTTTACATTGTTAATATTCTCTTTTTATAGTTTTTTATTGTTGTTTTGCATTTAAATAGGTGTTTTATGCTTACTGTGTGCCTGCTCATGCTAATATATATCTTATATTTAATGAGTTTTGCATTACTGATCATATAGTGACATGGTAAAATTAGTATAAAAAAGTTCACCCTTTAAAATGCCAGGAGAATGGGTCCAGAAAAAGGCAAACCAACCCGGAACAAAATATTCCCAAATATTATGTGTTTTTCTATTACTGCCTCATACAGTAGAGCATTTCACAGCATAAACACTTTTACTGTTAATAATACTCCCTTAAAGTGCACCTATGTCCAAGAAGTAAAATGTGCTTAGAAGTTATGGATGCATTAGTTTTCTTGTATCATTCATTTTTTCCTTGATCCTGCCGGTAACCTATATCCTGATCTAGGGAGACAACACTCATTCACTGCACTGTACTTATGACTCATCAGCTTTGTCACCCTAGGCCTCTCTCTAGATTTGGAGCACAGAATGCCTCCCCCTCCTATCAGCTCTATAACATGAAGAGAAGGTGTGTTCTGTAGTCCTTGGACATGAACTGGGGAACAAAACATGGGGAAATGTATATGCATTATGGAGATTTACTATGTTTTTTTTCCTTTTATGTTGCCCATTAGACATGTGAAATACATTTTTGTCCTGAATTGAAATTCGGATGCAATATTTGTTATTCGGAGATTTGGATGTATCCGAATTACAATGATAACAAATTTCTACGAATCCAAAATAATGAAGCAAATGTAATCTGAAATAACAAATGATCTGAATTAAAATCGAAACTGAAAGCAAGTTTGAAATGTGAACATAGTGCTTGTCGGTGCCCTTACAAACACATTAACTGATAGTAAATTAGTGCAGTGAATTTCATTCTTCCATGCACAGCTTTTTTTTTTTTTTTTTTTTTGTTAAATCTTTCAGAAAACAGCAATGTACACAAATCCTTCAAATCACACAACCTTCATCTTCATTATAAAGGGAATTTCAGATGTTGAAGAGTTTCAGAATCCTATCGTCATTCTCATTTTGTTTATTTACCGCCTCACCTTTGGTGTTAACATGACCATTCTGCTCTTGGTCTGCTTTGATCGTCATCTCCATACACCAATGTACTTTTTCTTGGCCAACTTGTCTATTTCAGATGTGTCCTCCTCCACCACCACACTACACATAAGAGTCTTGTTATCCATATTACAGGAAATAAAATAATATCTTATTCTAGCTGCTTGGCTCAAATGTATATCTTTGCATCACTAACAGGACATGAACTTTTTATACTGACAGCTATGAGTTATGACCGTTATGTGGCCATCTGTAACCCTTTGCTTTATCACACTATTATGAGCAGTAAAGCCTGTGCTCTCTTGGCCATGTGCTGTTGGGTGTTGTGTTTTGTAGTGGTCATTCCACCAGTTGTCACTGTATCAGGATTTACATGCTATACCTCCAACATAATTAACCATTTCTTTTGTGAGATGGTGTCACTTACAATGCTAACTTGCAGTGACACTTCCGTACTGGAGCTTCTGAACCTCACCGAAGGATTGATTGTCTCAACACACATACCTTTCCTCCTGACTTTTATCCCCTACATATTCATTATATCTACCATATTAAAAATTTCATCCAGTACTGGTAGACGTAAAGCCTTCTACACATGTTCTTCCCATCTCACCGTCGTTGTACTTCTCTATGTGATTCTAACTTGTCAGTATATTGTGCCAACAAGTTCTAGACTCCAAAAAGTTTTTCTCGCTCTTTAACACAGCTGCAGTCCCAATGCTAAATCCAGTGATCTACAGCTTAAAGAATAAATATGTGAAGTCAGCTCTTCGAAGTTGTCTTCGAAGGTGTAGGATCAATTATGACAAAACACATGGGCTAAGAAGAAATATTTAGCTTTGATGACATACGTTTGCCAAAATGGCTCTATATAAATAACTGTTATAAAGTACAAAAGGACATTCAGCTTCACTAAGTAAATTTAGACTACGCAGGAGTACCTTTGGAACTCACAGACAAAACAGATTACAATTTTAGTGGTCTGTTGTTTTTTAATAAAAAATTTAATTCCATTAGTATCTTGTGGGCATAACAAACATATATATATTTTAGCTCAAACTGTTCAGAAAGGTTGTCAAAAAATAAGTAAGTTATTTGTTACTATTGGTTTTTAATTTTTGTGATTTATTTGAACATGAAGGTGTTTCTGTAAACAATTAAATAAAGAGCAAGCTAAACAACTATGCACATATCAGATATTTATTGTTTCTAATGGCTTTAATTTCTAATAGTAGTATATTGTTTATAGTAGCCTAAAACCCATTGTTATTATGTGTCCTTGATATTCACAGCTACTGTAACGGCATAAAAATAATTTTAAATTTATTACTTAAAATAAATATACCTTGTGTATTTACTGGATGTTCATTTTTTTATTTTTCATTTTCTGTACATATTTTTATGCTATGCTATAGTTATTAGAGTTATGTTTTAGCTGCAATCATTATCCAAATTTACCTCCTAGCGTCCATCTTCTCTCTTCAACAAGTCTAAAGCTGGCACTAACCAGTAGATTTTTATTCCAACATTTGGATGAGAAAGGATCAAAATCATTCAATGGTGCTTTCATGGACTCAACTAATTTCACACTTTTTATTATAGTACCATGTTATTGTCTTTGATTTTGACAAGTGAATTTGCATAGCATTAGTTATGATTTTCTCATCCAGAAGCCAATTTAACAAACAAAAATGTGTTAATTACTATTGGATTTGTTAAAAAAAATGTTCATTCTTGTCCTTCAATTTTTGTACTCACTCTGTTCAAAAGTGATTTTTGTATCTGTCCCTTAACTCTTAGATAATAATAGTCACATAGTTACATACAGTAGGTAATGTTGAATAAAGACACCAGTTAAACCTGTGTAGGTGTGTGTATGTGTGTTTTTATGTTAATATTATTTCTCAAATTCCTGTATATTGTGCTCTTTAAGAGGCCCATCTAACAGTTTTTTAAAACTAACAACACTTCCTGCTGACACCGCTGATTGTGGGAGGGAGTCAGGGGTGGACTGACCATTCGAATTCTCGGGCACTGCCCGAGGGCCCAGGGTCAGTAGGGGGCCCCATGAAATGCCCCTGGTACTTTTTATAGGCTTTTTTTGAGTGTGGGCAAGGGCACAGGGGCCCCATGGTCCCCTATTGCCTGCGGGTCCCATGAGTTGTCAGTCCGCCCCTGGAGGGAGTTCCACATCTTTACCTCTCTAACAGTAACTTTCTAAGCAGTTTAAGGTTGAACCGCTTCTCCTTCAATTTCATTGAGTGGGCACAGGTCTTCTTAAGCTCCTTGAAACTGAATAGTTTCCTCCCTATGCTAGAATCACAATTGAGGTATTTTTATAGCGCTATCATATCTCCTCTCAAGCATCCTTCTCTGGTGAGAATAAGTTTAATGTTTGTGGTCGTTTCTCATAACTGAAGTCCACCAGTCCCCTTATTAGCTTTGTCTCCCTTCTCTGGGCTGTCTCCAGTTCCAGCACATTCTAGCACATCCTTCTAAAGGACTGGTGACCATAACTGGACAGTATACTCAAGGTGTGGCAGAACCAGAGTTTTCTAGAAAAGAATAGAATTACAGTTGTATACCTTGAGTAAATATTGTTTTATATGCATACTAATATTCTGCTTGCATTGCTTATGACAGCTTGATATTGCAAGCCATTGCTCAACCTGTAATCTACTAGGACCCCCAGATCTTTTTCCATCCAGGAATCCTCCAATGGTTCTCCCCCTAGCGAATATATTAAACAGAATTGGTCCAAGGACAGAGCCTTTGGGTATCCCACTTACCTCTCTAGACCATTTTAAGTACTCACTATTTATCACCACCCTTTGGATGCACCCCTGTAACCAATTTTCTTTCCAGGTACATACCCTACGGTCTAAGCCACGATTTGTCAGACCTCAATTTGTGAATTAAGTGTTTATGGAGAACTGAATCGAATGCTTTTACAAAATCAAGATAAACTACATCCACCGGCCTTCCCTTATCTAAATGACAGCACACTTCCTCATAGAATGTTAACAGATTGGTCAAGAATGATCTTTCATAAATCTATTCTGATTACTACTAATGAAACTGTTTTCATGTGCAGATCAAACAAATGTTCCAAAACCAAGAGATTTTTCACAAAAATATAGAGGTGTAGGCCAACTTAAGCAGTAATCTTTCCTGTTACCTTGCATCTATAGCAAGATACAGCTTTTATTTCTTCCTGTGACATCAGCACCAGACTTGTAAAATCCATCCATGGGCAGTTGTTGGGAGGAGGGATTTGTGCTGTGTCCCATATCATCTCCTAGTAGTTATCTGGGAGTCGAGGCAATTTTGCTGGAAAATATGTATCAATGTATATGTGGAGAGGGGCATAAGAAGGTGGAAATAGGCAGAGTTCGTTGTTCATCGTGCGTTGTTTTGAAGCTGAACTCTGTGCAAACACAATGGATACAACCTAAAGTATATTTCTGGGAAATTTTTTTTTTACCTTTTGGTAGAGTGGGAAAGGGCTAGGCAGTCCGTTAAGTGTTTTGCTGTCTGTGTCTTCATTGAAAAGGTTCACCCCTTCTATTGCAACTCTGGATTTTAGCTTTAAGGCCTTGTTTACACTTGTGTTTGGGGGGGGGGGCAGTAAAAAATGCACTGTTGAGCCTATACAACACCTCTTCACCTCCTCACTGGAGCACTGGGCTGGGCAGGGGGCAGTAGTGGCTTGCTCAGGCTTTCAGCAGTGCACTGAGAGGCTGAGCCAGCTGCTGGCCAGACATCTGGGTAGATTCCAACCTTAAAGTCGGGAATCCTTTCAGAGCCTAGACCAGCTCTGTGACATCAGCCAACAGTTTCAATCTGTTGTCGGCTGAATCTAGGCCACAGAAGTGCATAGTTAGGTGCACTCCTGTGATCCACAGGAGAAGTATGGCCAACAAAGCTTTGGCCATACTTTTCTTGTAAAAATAAAATAATGTATGCATGTCATGCATAGTGATGGGCTTCATTGTTGAACGTAAGTTCAACTCGAACATGGGCTGTTCGTGTGTTCACTGAACACACGAACGGTAAGGGTCCCACAATGCACTGCACCCTGACAGTGCATTATGATTGGCCAAAGCAATGCACCTGACCACAGGTTAGGTGCAATGCTTTGGCCAATCACAGCATATGATGATGTCAAAACAAAGCCCCCTTGTGACATCGTCACAGTATTTAGGAGCTGTCATCCCAGCGCAGCAGTCAGACGGCGGGTCGGCAGGCATTGTGATTGCTGATGGATCTACTTTGGGGGAAATTTTTTTAATGTTTGATTTTAATAAAGGTCCTGTCATTTTTTTATACACTTCTTTTTGTGTGAATCGGTACTGAATACTCAATCACATAGGGGAGCCAGGAATCTGGGGTCCCCCTTGTTAAAGAGGGCTTCCAGATTCTAGTAAGCCCCCGCCCCCAGACCCTCACAACCACTGGTCAGGGTTGTATGGAAAAGGCCCTAGTCCCCATCAACATGGGGACAGGATGCTTTGGGGTGAGCCCCCCACCCCAAAACACCCCCCCATTTTGACCTGCCAGGCTGCATGCTCGGATAAGTGTCTGGTATGGATTTTGGGGGTTCCCCTCAAAATCCATACTACACCCAAAGAGCTTGGTATGGATGAAAGGGGGGACCTCAAGCAATTTTTAAAAAAAATTTTTAATAATATAATAATATAACTCATGGGCTATTTTGGTAGCTGAGCAGTATCTTACCGCTCTGTAAATTGTCCCTGTTTGAAGTTCACGGTTGAACTTCCTGTAAGTTCAAATGTCCGACCGCGAACCAAACAGGGGTGTTCGGCCCACCACAAGTCATGCAGAATGTATTAAAAAAGCATTTTCAACACACAGTTAGACATGGTGGTTTAGTGGTTTTCCTTTGGACCTTGTAGCTCTTGAGTACTTGGCTTAAAACCCACTAGAGGCATTTTATGTTTTTTATTATGTAGTTTGCTCATTTTTAGCACACAAACAAATCCCCATCTTTGAAGAAAGAGCACTGAATTTTTCAAGATCACTCAAAGAAACTTATATTCTAATGCTCAGAGTACAGATACCCAGTCCCCACATACAAACATACACACACATGAACATACACTAGGACAGTTAGGATAGAAGTAAGCTAACCTAAAGAGCCATGAAAGGAAACACAGGACAAACTTCCAAACTCCATGTAGATAAACACTGATGGGGGTTGGTCTTAAAATATCAAACTTTCCAGGCATACCTTCCCACC